TAATGGGAAATTCACAGACAAACTTGCGGATTCTTCCACTGACCGCTGCGGCACACCTGCACCAGGGCAAACATCCGCCTGCTATACAGGTGAAAATAGAGCAACAGGACCGCTGAGTCTTTGATTTTATTTATTTTCTGCTGTGTTTTACTTGCATCTATTTTGAAACTGAGTGTAAACAAAAAAAACATTTTACTTTTTGTGCAGGAATGTGCAGAAAATAGGTTTAAATGTTAAACAAATTTCTTCCAGTCAGAGAATGTTGCATATAATTCAATTTTTGCTTGATGCATAAAGTTAAAAGATTAAAACTAATAAAACAAAATTCCTCCTCCATGGAGGAGGAAAAAAATAACTCTAATTCTGTTGTTCCAACTTAATATACTTGAGTTGGACCAACTTAAATAATAATGATGAATCAACTTACTTACAGCAGTTGAGTCCAACTTAATTCAACCAAACTGATCCAACCCATGCAAATTACGTTAACCCGACAAAGCAACTCATTACTAAAAGAAAGTCATGTTTTAATGTGGAAATCCTTTCCATAATTATTTTAAGTTTATTCTAAAAGTCATTTTTTTTGGCTTGTTCGAAAAGTCTAGAGTCATACAACACATAAATTGTAAGGCTTTATAAGAATTTCCACTTCATACATCCATTTATTTTAATCATGGTTGTGGTGGGCTGGGGCCTATCCCAGATGAGATAGGGCCAGAGGTACACCCTGGACAGGTGGCCAGTCTATCACATTGCTAACACAAACAGATTTATTTATGGATAATTTGGAATCACCAATTAACCTAACTCCAATAACTGCATGACTTTTATTTGTGGGTGGAAAGCAGAGTATCCAAACAAAACCCACTGCAAACTCTGTCATATTGTGGATTTCAACTCTGGACCTTCTTGCTGTGAGGCAACAGTGCTAACCACTTACCTGTCATTCCAGACTTTTTTGAGGTCTGGAATAACAGCAAAGTGGTGCCATGGCTTTATGGCTTTAATTTTCTTTATGTTTTTGTCCTTGAAAGGTTAAACCACAATAAATAGCAACAGCATACACATGGCGTGATATATTGTGTGTGTGTATATACAAATTCATTAATTAAAGAAAGCCACCATTTTTCATCTTTTTTTCTCTCTCAATCCATCAGTTGTGGCATGATCACATCATTAGATGGTACACCAACATACACATTCCAGTGTAATGAAATGGAAGGTCGCTACATCATTGTGATCATACCAGGGGAAAAGACTTACGCAACCCTGTGTGAAGTGGAGGTGTTTGCTTCTGTATCTGGTAGGGTTTGGGGTGTTAGTTCTAGAAGTTCTTAGTTCTTAGGTAGTAGTGTGTGCTAAAATTATCATTGTAAAATTTTCTATTGTTTTGCCTTTTTCTCATATTTGTTATTGTAAATAGGACCAGATTAATTTAATGCACATTGCTCTTTAGCTTTCACTGTCTAATTTCACTACAGACTATTGTAATTTAACATATTAAAATAAAAGGAAAACAATAACCACCAAATATGGCTTAAACAAACCGAATACTAAGAAAAAATTTCTTCACTACAGTGCCAGATGTTATTACGACTCCTCCACCTCCTCCCACCCCTCCTCCACCTGTGAGCCTGCAGCTTGGTGGCAGGAACGTGACGGTGGTGGGAGAGAGGCTCTGCTGGTCTGATGCTCTGATGTACTGTAGACGTTATTACTGGGACCTGCTCAGCCTTCACAGCCAACAGGAGCAAAGCGAGTTGGAGCAGCTGCTGGGCCTCATTCCTTTCTCCCTCACAGACCACATCTGGCTGGGACTGCGCAGGTACTGATAGCTATAGATACATTTAGCTGATGTACATCACAGATTAAATAATGAGCAGGACATAACATAAATGAGATGGTGCTTCTCTCCAATCACAAGTGAAATGAAAAAATGTATTAAAGAACTAGACATAAATATCAAATGAGAACAAAGAAACAGAAGAAACAACCAAATAAATGGAGAAAGACACAACAGGAAAAGCCAGAAAGAAATGCAAACAATGTACAAAGTGAATGAAAATAACTACCAATGGTTCAAAGAAGAAATAACTTCTGACAACACAA